GTATCATTCTCAATTGGATGGTTACTTGGTTCCATTGTGCTATCTGCTCTGGCTTTGACTACATGGACATCAGTGTGATTTTGCATTCTGGATTTTTGTGCTTCGTCCATGTTCATGTTCCTTGCAATTTGGTATCGGAGCTGGTTTGATCGCCACTTACCTTTGGCACGCTGGCATTATACAGACTTGGTGCGTTGACGATGCTTCTTCGCAGTTGGTTCTTGTGACGTCTGGCCACATAGGGACTCGCCCTGGGTAGAGAGGGGAGCGCCGGAAGGCTAAGACGGCAGTGTATGCCGTGGTGACATGCGGAATGTATGATTGGTGATGAGAGCATGCTGATGTGGCACTCGGCCGAGGTGGCACTGCATTGCGTTGTGGCTAAGACCGGTCATCAAATGCACACTCAGCTCAATTGGTGAGAAATCAATGATTGGGGGCAGCTATCTCCAGGTACGTTGTTCCCTTACCTTATCTACTCTCTCAATCTCTTCTTACTGTGAGGAAGTGAGTCCAACTTGAGAGTCCTCTCTTTTGGTGAGGTGTCGTGTGCGCGCTACCTTGAGAGACGACAATCTTCCTGGAAGCATCTGGAAGGAGAAAGGGCGGTGCCTCTGAAGGGCCCTGGTCGAAGCACTGGGTCACGGTCACCATGCCAACCCAATGGGAATAGGTCACGAATGCGCCGACTGCTGTCCATTTTGGCACTTGCTGCGCTGAATAGAAGTCATGTCGGGTGTGTCAGCCCATGACAGACGCTTACCAGACCGTCTATAAAGATTTCTGGTTGGGAGTTCATTGTGAATCTGGCTGTGATCGTCGTCCTGACTGCGACGTTGAAGAATTCCTCAAGAGATGGGGGCGCTCTATAAATTCCTCCTGATCAGCCAGATCACATGGACAGGAAGGCTTGTCGCCATACGAGGGTAAATAAAAGTGGTTGGGCTGGCTTGCTCGGTAACGACTTGGGCACAGGGGTGGGCCAGAAGCACACACGAAGACACTGCTTGCTCAAAGATGTTGTCCCGTATGTTGGATTGAGAGGAGGGTAGGTTCTAATTGGTGCTCAACTGAATACACAACCACACCCACTCATCATACATCTCCAACATGGTCTTTTTGTATTCTTGATTAGTTGGTGGACAGACTGATAACACCTCACAGACAGATTAGATTAGGACTGTTGTAAGCTACCATAGCCAGTTCTATCTAATGCTGTTGTAAGAGAACCAGTCAAGATACGCCTAGACTATGTTGACAATCTGTAGTAACAAACATTTCGTCAAAATGGACATCTTTTATTTTTTGAACGAAATTGAAACTGAGTTTTTTGGCCAAAAACTCGTAAAAATTCGTTCAAAAAATAAAAGATGTCCATTTTGACGAAATGGAAGTTTAGTGAATGTTGTAGACATGCCACTTGATCGGTACAGTAGGGAACCTGCCGGACACAACTATTTATAGAAAATTAGGTGCCGGTCAGACACATGCTGTGGTAGGACTCCACTAGGGGGTTCTAGTGCAGATAATGTTTGCCTAACTGATGAACGGGTCAGACATCGATGAGGAGAGAGTTGACGATGCTAGACTAACACGTCCAGGATCATGTAGGATCTCGCACGTGTTCCAGGCCCTACAACCGAAAAACGAAAGACGCATTCGTGCCGAACGCAGAGCCCGTGCTCTCGCAGCATCGAGGGAGGCACCAAACGTTTCAGCTAGGGAACAGGCAGCAGCAACAACGAGGGCAGCAACCATGTCTTCTGCAGCAGCATCCAGTGCTGCATCTTCTGCTGTGTCCTCGTTTGGGGCCCAGTTGGGAATGCCAACAGGGTCCACGTGCACTTCCAGCTCGTTAGGATCTCGTCAGTCTACAAGTCAAATGGCGGGCTCGCAATTCAGCCCGTTGACTCCTCACGAAAGGGAGCTCAGGGAGCTCCAACTAGTCGAAAGGATCCGTGAACAGTTAGAGAGGGACCTGAAGAAAGCAACCGATAGAGAAAGAGAGAATAAAAATAGAACAGCCAGACTTGATACATTAGAGGCTGACAAAGCTGAGCTAGAGGGCTTGGACGACTCTGGAATGTCTGAGCCCATGAAAGTCTTGAAGAACAACATGTTGTCGCTGTAGCGGACCCACCAGGTGTGGTGCTCCGCTAGTGGTAGAGATGGAGATGGAGGAAGAAGGGGGAGCAAGATGATGCACAGTGCAGCTCCCACGCAGGACTCCAACGCACGTACTCCAAAATGTGCCAGTGAAGAATGATACTGAAAACAGACAATGGTTGGGGTATACGCCAGCGGACTGACGGGACTGGACTGGAGTGGCTGGTACCGACAGAGGTACCGGTCAGGACTGGACTGCCCCGAATAAAACAAAGGCTTGTGAGAACAGGCCAAGGGGCTGGTGTCACAGGCCCACCAGAGGTCCGTTACACGATCCTCGGCCTGTGATGGATCGCCTAGATACAAGCACGCTTCCGCCAAGAAGCGGAACTCGACCAAAGAAAAGAAATTTTGAGTAGTCTAGGATGCGGAGCGAGCTCCATGCTGAGTCCATGCGATGCATGCTAGGATAGAAAATGTCACAAAGTAGCAATGTCACAGCTAACAGCCTAAGTAAAAGCAGAAGCAACTAACTAACATACATGTCCTAGGAAAGCAAAAGCAACTAACTAGCATACATGTCCTAGGAAAGCAGAAAGTAGTGATAACTAGATCCTAGAATGTTGGAGGCACTAGCCTCTGTTTGGTAACAACTGACTAGTGTATGAGTCCTAAGAACAGCAAAAGCAGAACAACTAAATCCTAGAAATGTCGGAGGCAGTAGCCTCAGTCTGAGAGCAACAAAGCAATCAACAAGACAACYATATGTCACATGAGAAGTGTGTCGCAAACCAAAGGGTGGGATGGTCTCTGAGGGTGGTGAATGCAGCCTAGGGTCGAAAACTCCTAAGGGGATCCACACATAGTGACAGGGGAAAACACATGTCATCAGGCTCAATGAGGGTAGGGAACTGGGAGCGAACAGAACCAATGACCCTAACAGATAGACCATCAGGGCGGGTAATGCTCGACTAAGGGGTGACCGCTATGGAGGGTAGACCATGCAAGGGAACAAGGGAGCCTAGTATACAGGGCACACCTAGATGAAGCATGCGGGGCTGCCTAACTAGGGCGTGAGGGCCGGCGAAGGGTAGAAAGATGATGGGTAAGGGAATCATGCAAATGACTCCTAAAATGAGGGAGGTCGGAGCTAGATCCGTAAGATGGGAAGCCAGGGCAACGCTACGGTCCCAATGCCTGTGCGTATACCAAGGGAGAGCCCAACTCAGAGGAACCCGGCTAAAGGGAGACCATCATGCGACATAAGCAGGGTACTGTACAGGGTAGAGTGGTAAGAGAGTGGCGACGTCTGAAGTAGGCAGAGCTGATCGTGATGAAGTCGATGAAGCTGCCGATGACGTCCACGATGAGAAGTCCGGAATGCCGTCGAGGAAGAGCCACAGCGTCGACGAGCTGAAGTAGCAAAACTGATGTGGATGGAGTACTGAGAAGTCAAAGACGTGGGAAGGTAAGTCWGAGTCAATCGTCGTATCGASCAGGACGACGACGAGTGCGCTGTGGRCGCTCAGAAGCATCCGGCTGCTGCTGAAGGTCTGCCTCAGATGGAGCAGGCTCGGCTTCAGCGGTCTCCTCAGCCGGAGGAGAAGGAGGAGGGTCAGTGGGCTGAGGAGGAGCAATGAACCCAGCACGACGAGCACGGTCATAGGCACGCACCAACATGCGAGCGTGCTGCAAGTGCTCGAGGGGCTCCCAGGTAGCCTCCTCATCAGGGTAACCCTTCCAACGTACGAGATACTCGACGTGGGGAGGGTTGTCGTCGGTGACTCGGCGRCCAATRATGTCTGAAACGAGGAACTYCTCGTGRCCGTCCACCATGATGGGTGGAGGGCGCTCGTATGGTCGTCCAGCGAAACGCTCAGACGGTCTGTGGTAAGGACGCAGTAACGAGACGTGGTAGACATCGTGCACACGAGCCTGGTGTAGGTAGTCGGGTTACTTCACACGGAAGCTGACCGGGCTAGATGCCGTATCAGAACCGACGGCCTTGAGGATGCGGCATGGGCCAAAGAAGCGACGCCGAAACTTGCGAAGCGTGTCCGCTTCGAGCTGTAAGTGGCGGGCGTCAATAAGCACATCATCACCGACTTTGAATGAATGATCCATCCTCGATCGGTTCGCACGTGCTCCCATGCGAGTCTGGGAAGCGGCTATGTGCTCATGTGAGGTCTTCATGATCGACGTCATGTGTGCAACCTAATCGTCCAGCGCGGGAGAACTCGTGTCGGGGTGCAGCTGGGACGGTCGAAGGAAGTTCGCGGGAACACGAGGGTGATAGCCGAGGTCGCAATAGTAAGGCGACATCCCCGTGGCTAGCGAGACGGCGTGGTTGTAGGCTATCTCCGCGTGGGCAAGATGAAGATCCCACTACTGGTCGTCACGAACAATCTTTCGAAGAATATCTCCGAGAGTCCTGTTCGTGATCTCGGTCTGACCATTAGTCTGAGAATGGTAAGACGAGGAGAAGCGGAGCTGAGTGCCGTATACCTCGTGGAGCCGTCGCCAGAATCGGCTGGTAACGCGTTGGTCACGGTCAGATATGATGCTCCGAGGTAAGCCGTGGTCACGCACGACTCGGTCAAACACGATGTCGGCGACCTCACGTGCACTGATGGCATAGCGGCATGGAACAAAGCGTGCACGCTTCGTGAAGGGGTCGACGACGACCAGGATAGCATCATGACCGCGAGGGGTCGGAGGACGAAGAGGACCGATAAAGTCCATCGAGATGGACTGCCAACGACCCTCAGGGATAGGAAGAGGCTGGAGCAAACCATAAGGCAGGTGGTTCGCACTGTTTACCTCCCGACAGGTGGGACACTCTGCGACGTAGTCCTTCACAAAGTCCTTGCGCTTCGGCCAGACGTACATGCGGCTCACACGAGCCAACGTGTTGTGGAAGCCCATATGACCGACAGCTGCCTGGTCATGGAACTCTGCTTCTGTTTGGACACGTAGCTGTCCAGTGGAGGGAACGCAAATACGGGGCTCCATGGTGCCCTGTGAACCGTGTCAGTACACAATACCGTTGTCCCCGAGAGAGTAGTTCGGGACGGTCTTGCCACTTCGAAGGATCGCGTGGATGTCGCGATAGTCGGGGCAGTGGCGGTACTGAGTGCGAAACTCGTCGATCACCGAGTGGTGGACAGTGGTGACCGAGATGGAAGAGAGCTGGATGTGCTCTTGGTCGTGGTCAGGGCGCCGGGATAGGGCATCTGCGACCCGATTAGTCTCACCCTTGATGTGCTCAGCGGTGAAACTAAACTCGGATAGGTCGCGCCACCAGCGAGCCTGTCGAGGGGTGAGCTTCGGCTTTGTCAGAAAAGCCTGGACAACAGAGTTGTCCGTGCGCACCGTGAATGGTGCCCCGTGCAGGTAGTGACGCCAGTGTCGAGCGCCATAAACTACTACGAGAACCTCACGTTCATCAGCAGTGTAGTTTATCTTGGCGGGCAGGAGCTGACGGGAGTAGAAGGCTATCGGACAATCACCTGAGCGAGACTSSAHAGTGCCGTCCTCGGCGATGGTAGGAGAATAGTCAATAGAAGGCTCGTCAGTAGCTGGACGAGTAGGCGTCAGTCGGGAAGCAGTGGTAGGGGTAGGTGGTGGGAAGCGAGGGATACGAGGATGAAAGGAATCAGGAGAGGAGGGAAAAACCTGAGAAAGCACTGCTCCTACAGCGAAGTCTGACGCATCGGTGGTAAGGATAAAAGGGCGGTCAAAATCGGGTAGGTGAAGAACTGGTACGCATGTCACCGCCTTCTTGAGGGCGCGGAAGGCGTCCTCGTGGAGGGGTGTCCAAACCCAGGGTGGGTTCTTTCGGAGGAGGGTGGAGGTAAGGACGTAGGAATACCTAGTGTATCCCCGGATGAAGTTACTGTAGTAGCTGGTCAGACCTAGGAAGCTGCGAAGCTGCTTGGCGGATGTGAGAGCGGGCCACTCCGCAATAGCAGTGATCTTCGCGTCGTCCATGTGGAGACCCTGGTCAGACACGTAGTGTCCTAAAAAATTCACTTTGTGCTGGGCAAAGCGGCACTTGCTCAGCTTGGCGTAGAAGCCATGTCTGTGCAAGCGGTCAAGGACGTCGCAGGGATGTCTGAGGTGCTCCTCAAGGGTACGACTGTAGACCAGGATATCGTCGAGATAGACGAGAACGTACTGCTCCAGGATGCCCTTGAAGATGTCGTTCATCGCCCTCTAAAAGGTAGTGGGAACATTAGCGAGGCCGAATGGCATCACCGTGAACTCGTAGTGGCCAAATCGCGATCGAAACGCGGTCTTCAGCTAGTCAGCTGCAACGACGCGGATTTGATGGTAACCGCTACGAAGATCAATCTTCATAAAGAAGCGGTTGCCTGCTAGGCGGTCGAACAGCTCATCGGAACGAGGCATGGGGTAGCTGTTCTTAACCGTGTAGCGGTTGAGACCACGATAGTCGATGCAGAGAAGGAGAGTTTCGTCCGCTTTGCGAGCTAAGAGGACGGGTGCACCCCACGGGGAGTTGCTGGGCTTAATGAAACCTAGTCTCAGGAGTTCCTCCAGTTGACGCTTGAGTTCGGTGGCCTCGGGGATCGAGAGTCTGTGGGGTGCCTGGTGGTGAATACTATAGTCAGGCACAAGTTGAATGGAGTGTTCGACGTCACGCATCGGTGGGATGCCGGCGTACGAGAACGACGATGGAAAAACGTCGTGGTACTCTCGGATGAGCTCACGAACTGCGGGCTCCAAGTCAGTCGTATATCGTGCGAGTTCCTCAGCGTCAGCGTCAGCATGCGACGGCGGGGTGGACTCGACGGACGGCGGAGGGACGGAAGTAGAGATGGGAGCCATAGAGATAGAGGGAGGATCAGGCTCCAGAGGGATGAGCTCGGCGTCGGGACAGGGTGGATCATAGTGTAAGAGATCCGTCACGTCCACCATAAAGAAGGTGACGTCGTCCTGTCGAATGAAGTGAGCGAACTGCCGAGGCGAGGTGACAGTGATAGAGGGAGATGGTGTGGGCACTGAAGGCTCCGGGGGAGGAGGGTCGGGGCGTAGCGTCGCCGTGGTACCTATGAAAGGTACGCGATACGTCTGTCCACACTTCGTTTTGAGAACGAGAGTGTTGGTCGCCCAATCGGCCTCCGTGCTGCGGAAGCGACGAGACCATGGAGTTCCGAGAATGAAGTCGTACCCCGTCTCAATCACATCGAAATGTGGCGACGAGATGTCGGGGAACGATCAGTCGGCTCGAGAGTGAGGAAGAAGGGGAGGTCGGTGACAGTCTGATCGAAGAAGCGCTGGGTCTTGTCATCCCCTAGGGTAACGAAGATGGGAGTCGGAGACCCTGTCGTAGGTAAGCGGGCTTCCTTCACCACGCGTGGGTGAATGAAGTCGCCCTGAGAACCGGAATCCCACAGCGCTGAGTACACCCTCGTGGAGGTCCCTAGTCGTACTGGGATGATCGGGAGGGTGCGATCAGGGTCAGAGAGGATGGCGAGAAGGCAACGCAATGCAGCGACATGGAGGGTGAGTTGCTCCTGACGAGCCTGGAGCATGCTCAAGTCCAGAAGAGAGGACACAACGTCCTCGCGAGTAGCAAGCTGCTCGCTGCAACGGGCTGAGCGAATGGCTCGACGCGTCGGTAGTCGCGGCGGGGAAGGAGGGGAGACGGTGGTCTGCGGAGGCGCAGACGGTACTGCGACAGAGGGCTGAGTACACTCTGTCGAGTCCTGCGATACCTCAACTCTAGTAGCGAGAGGGGCGAACCGCGACGGAGATGTCGGGAAGCCCACTACTCAGGAGGGCGCAGGTGTACACTGCACCGTGGCTAGGAGGCGCTGCGGGGACGTGAGGCGCCGGGGGGGGACTGAACACGACGCGGACGAGAAAGGTCAGCGTAGTGGCGGTTGAGGGCGGTAGTGTAAGGACACTGCGAGGAGGTATAACCGTCCAAGCGGCAGCGCAAACACCCACGTCGGCCCAGAATAGCCGCGCGCTCCTCAGCGGAAAGGACACCGCGAGGAGGGACGAATCCCTGAGGGAGGTCCTCCTCAGGGACCTTAGGGGGCGACGCGCCAGCGTGACCGGGGCGGCTGCGTGCCCGAGAGAGGGCAGAGAGCGCGAGCTAAAGACGCTCAGCTGCAGGGAGGGTAGAGTCCTCCAAGTGATAGTGGACGGCCTCGCAGAGATCGAGGTCGTCGCTGTGGTCGCCCTTAGGTGACAGTGGGGCAACAGCGTCCTGCTCACCATACTCCAGCGTGCTGAAGCGACGCGAGAAGTGGAGGCCCTGCTGCGTGGAACGGCGGGGGCGACCGCGGAAAGGGGAACGACGCTGGGAAGTGCCGTAAGAGGAGGAGGAGGCGTAGCCCGTGCGCTGGGGATGGGAGGAGGAGGCGGGGTGAAGACGGGCTCGCATCCACAGGTGGTCCCTGGCGGCCTCGTAAGCCTGTGGGGCCGATGTGAACTCGTACTGCCATAGCTCGGAGCGGTACTTGAGCGGAAGGCTAGCCAAGAAACGATCGATAAGGGCAGCCTCGGGGAGGAACGCCACGTCGCAAACGAGGCAGGCGTCCTGAAAGACCTGGATGTAGCGATCCAAGCCGGTAGCGCCACCAGAGTCGGACCAGCGTGTAGTGACGACACGCTCGAAGGCGTCAGTCACGTCGTATCGGGCTCCGAAGCGATCCTCGAGGAACACTTGGAAATCCACGAAGGTCGGAGTCTGACCCTCACGAAGGGAGTAGGCATAGAAATCCTCCCAGGCCTCGAAAGGACCGCCACGCAGGCGCATGGAGAGGTGACCCACCCATGTCTCGGGTGTTGCGCCCATAGAGTGTGCGGGTGGCAGACTGCAACCACGGAGACACACATATGCCTGTACCGTCATACAAGGCAATGTCCGACAAGCGGATGAGTGGTGCGCCATCGTTTTGGCGGCGAGGGGATCGAGGAGCGGAGGCCTGTGCCACGGCTGAGTAAGTCGGCGCATGTCCTGGAGAAAGGGGCGCAACTCACTGTGCGCCCGGGCCGCATGAGGGAGCGGCGGTGGCAACAGCGGCAGGCTGTGAGGGTGTTGCGGTAGAAGAGGTCGCAGCAACCGCGGGAGTAGAAAAAAGGTAGGAAGGAGTTGTATAGGGTGCAGGGCGCGGAAAGCGAGCCTGCATGGGAGGAAGGGTAGAGGAGGTACGGGGTGTGCCCGAAGGCGCGGCCGCCTGTGAGGGTGGGGGTGGCTGAAGGCGTAAAAGGGCAAGGTCGGCCCGGAGCTAGGCAATCTCGTCCGCGAGACCTTGAACGTAGGTCGATCGAGGGGTGGCAGGAGGAAGAGTGGAGGGGGTGGACGCTCAAGCGGCGTGGGGCATCCCAGAGGGGGGAGAGCCAGGTGGCGCTGCGGTCGTGCGAAAGGGAGGGAGAAGTGGGGCACCCGGAAAAGCTGAGACCATGGTAGCGGGTTGTTGTACCGTGGCCGTAGTGACCGGGATCTGGGCGGGTGCTCCCGTAGACTGAGGGGGGGTCTGGCTCGTGGCAGCCGTCGTGCTACGGGCGTGGACAGTCACCAAGATGGCCGGGTCAGGGGCAACGGAGAAGGAAGCTTCGCCGTGGCCACCCTGTCGGAGGACGGGGGACCCGGACAGGGAGCCGGGAGATGGAGGACATGCAGCATCCTGGAGTTGCTGCACGCCGGCGGCAAGGGTCGTCACCTGCGCTTATAAGGGCCCGAGGGACGCGAGTTGCACCTGGATGGGCGCAAGGGTCGCGAGTTGCGCCTGGATGGGCGCAAGGAGGGAGGTGAGGAGGGTGTGCAGATCCCCCTGGGGTTGATGGCCCTGGTCCGCCGGCACGGGTGTGGAGCCCGATGCCGTGGTCATCGCCGTGTCGACGGCGTGTGACACACCGTCGGCCATGGGGAGATGACGGACCGGACTGGAGGGGGCCAGAAGAGGTTCGCGTGAGCGGAAGGCGTAGGGGGAAGTCCGCGGTAGAAAGCGCCGAACGGCGCTCGCAAGGCTAGCACGGGCGCCGTCAAAGGGGGAGGGGTGGTTCAAGTCCAGGGTGCCCGAAGAGGACGGGGATGTAGGGGAGGTTTGAAGAACCCTAAACCCTACAAAAACCCTAAGAAAACCCTAACCGAGGTTGAAGTGGTTAGGGTAGGGTACCAGTGACCTAATCAAGAAAATGAAAGAGCAAGCATAGGGGGGGGGGAAGGCGGGAGAAAAATAAATAAACAGCGAGATTTTGAGAGAAAATAAAAATAAATAAGGAACTAAATAAATAATAAAAATAATTAAAAAAATAAGTAAGAGATGTGAAGGGAAAACAATATTTATTTTTTGAATTTTTCCGGCAGCATTTCCCTACCCCCCACGGGGTCAAGAATGTGCCAAGGGGAAGGAAGAGACCAAGGTAAGCACATTAGGTGTCAAGATGCCGCAAATAAAAGAAAAAGAAATTTCAAAAAATAAATTAAAAAAAAATAAATAAATAAATAAATAAATAAGTGGATGAGGAGGTGGGGAGGAATGAAGTATCTAATTTGTCAAAAATTTTGGCAGCATTTCGTTACCCCCATGGGGTCGAAGTGTGCCGAAAAGACTAAGTAAGAAAAATCAGAAAATTTCGGCAGCACTTCGTTACCCCCACGGGGTCAAAACGTGTGCCGAAAGCAAGAAAGACTAACACCTAATTAGATTTAGGGTTGCCGTAAAGAAAATCGAATTTTCAAAATAAATAGAAAAATAAATAAAATAAATCAGAAAATGAGGAAAGAAGGTGGGAAAGAAGATATTTCGAATTTTTGGAAAAAAAAAAAAGATAGATCAAAAGAGAGGTGGAAAGAAGAAAAATAGAAAAAATTCGAAGTAGGGGGGAAGGGGAATGAAAAAATGAAGAAGAAAAGAAAGAAATAGGTGGGGGAGGGAAAAAGATGAAGTGGGAGGGGGGGGGGATTAGGTGGTGGTAGTTGGGGGAGAGGAGGGTTGGGAAAAGGTGGAGAGAGATCAAGAAGGAAGGAGAAAAGAAGGAAGGAAAAGAAGAGATGAAGAAAATAGAATAAAAAGTGGGAGAAAGGTGGGGTGGGGAAGATAAAAGGAGGAGAGAAAAGATGCAGTAGAAGGTGRGGGAAAGAGAAGGKRTGAATAAGAGGAGAGAGGAGAGGTAGGGAGATTGGGTTAGTAGAGGGAGAGGGGAGAAGGGAGTGATACCTGGCCCTTGGTGTCTCCAAGGGCACAAGGTACACCAAGACCTCGAGGGTCTTGGTCTTTGCTGTAGCAGCCTGTTGGAGGAGAGAGGGGGCTGAGATCTTGATCAGCCCCCAGCAGCACTTCTGCAATGTGCAGATCTAGGGTCTGCTGTGTAAGCAGGCCCTCGCCACTGTAAAGCAGCCCCCTAAGCAGGGGGGTCTTCAGTCCCAACACAGGCTGCCACGTGGCCGTAGAGATGGCCACGTGCCCAGGCAGCAGCAGCCACGGGGGGTGGGAGGGGGGTAAATAGCAGCTTCGCTGCTCCTCACTGCTCGCTGCCGAGGGGGGGGGGGTAAATAGCCAGCACGACACCTCTTCAACACGAATGTGCCGTGCTACAGAGCCATGGACACACTATGGCGACTGTGTTATGAGGCTGCTTACGCACTCGCATGGCTCAACAGGTGCCTGGGTTCAAACCCCAGCGGCAACAAAAAATCCCGGATCTTGATAAGATAAATCCGGGAGCGGGGCGGGGCGGGGCAGCGGGGCAGCGTGGGCGCATGGCGTGCGCGCTCGTGCGGCGGCCTTGGCCTTACACCCGAAAACAGCGAAAAAAAACCTGATGTCGGGTTGGCTGCTTTTCCGTCTGTGCGGGTTGCTGGCCAGCTGTACGGGGTGATGGGAGGGAGCGGGGACCGTTCCCTCTCCGATACCAATGTAGCGGACCCACCAGGTGTGGTGCTCCCCTAGTGGTAGAGATGGAGATGGAGGAAGAAGGGGGAGCAAGATGATGCACAGCGCAACTCCCACGCAGGACTCCAACGCACGTACTCCAAAATGTGCCCGTGAAGAATGATACTGAAAACAGACAA